AGTTTGTATGATAAGCAATTAAGATTGCTTCTAGAGAACAATAAAATACATACCTTAACGGCTAAAAGTCTAGATGCAAAAGCACATGGATGAATRTATGCTAGTCCTTCCCACTCAAATTAAATGGTGCTAAACCCACAATAAACTATCTCATTATCATGCATGCATGATGAATTTAAAAATACTGTATGAAAAGTTTTAAACCCCACCCACTCAACCAATGAAGCCCAAAGGAATGGATCAAACTGATCTTCAATGCTCAACCCTTTATTGCACCATACCAAAACTAAAATTTCAAGAAGAGGTTGGAAGGAGTTGTGTATATGATTCTAAAAAAGGGAAAAGAAGAAGAATGTGCAACATTTACCTGACCAGCTGGAACATAAGGGTCCCCAGTAATCTTGACTGCTTCTACATACTCATAAAACTCAAGATTTGAGAACTCTTTCATGCTACCATCCTCTTGCCACTGACCAAATTTACGCTTTAGTTGAATGACCTCGGAAGTGTAAATCCCATGTGCACCAACATACAGTCCTGCCACAGTGCAGGGTATCTGTCAGCGCCTCAAATCTAGCTTGGGAAGAGCAAAATATGCAACAGAGAAGAAAGATGTTCCGTGTAGGAACACTAACATAATGGCAAAATAATTGGCAGCAAAGAACTGAAGGTGCTAACTTTTTCCAGCTAAATTTATTACCATTTAAAGGATCTCCTGATGATGGAAGCTCGATTCGGTTGAATGTTGTAGATCCAGACAGAGGCTGACGACTTTGAGCCTGATTAAGGGTGAGATTTATCAACTGGTTTACATCTTTAAGCACCTGCAAAATGAAAGATGTCATCGAGAACTTCATGGATTGACAAGCAAAAGTCCAATTAATCCACAGTTCATCTGCTATACAACAAGAAACTGTACCCAAAGCTAACCTTCATGGGTATCTTCCCTCTTCCAATGGACTTGGCAAGATCAAGCATAACACTGTCTATTCTACGATTACCTCCAAGTCTAGCATCACCGTGCCTCGGAGATTGTGCACTGCCAGAAGAAACCTGTTGTTTTTCTTTCTCTATAGAGAAAGTGAATGACGAGTGGCTTTTCTTTTCTAGCTTTGCCGGTACTCGAATCAAATCTTTATGAGATGTGTCATTGGAAACTTTCTGTACCAGATCACCAACTACGACCTTAACTGCAATTTGACCATTACCTTCACCATCGATTATTGTATCAGCACCATCGAAATCAATATCAATTTGCACCACATCAGTTCCATCTGTGACTTCATTCATGTTCTCCAACTCTTTATCATTCTCTTCTTCATCATCTTCATCATCTTCATCTTCCTCCATTATTTGTTCAACCACCTTTGATATTAAATCCCTGTCTATTTTTCCTGGTGGTATCAAATTCATCACCTTGATTTTCAGGTCTTTTGCACCAGGAATCATATCTCGCATGATATTCTCAAAACCATATTCCTCAGCCATATCAGAACTATCATCCTCATCTTCAACATCCTCTGTATCTTCACTATCTTTTGCAAATAAATCACCTTTGTCACCGATGGAGTCCAGTGGATTGACGCTACTAATAAGATCTGACAACTTGGAGGAAGCAATTGGAAAATCTGTAGGAACCTCGCTCCGCTTCAAGTATACAGCCTGATCATACAAATTCAATCCAGTAGTGAATTAAATAAAGGATCACTATGCTAATTAACTTATAGGTGCAGCTTCTTAGCAACTACTCTCTTCGTCCCAAAATAAATGTACACAATGAAAAAGGCACACAGTTTTAGGAATGTGTAATTATTACACTTCTTAATTAACTAAAGGATAATTTTACCCTTAACAATAAATAGAGAAAATTTCTCCATCTCATAACTAAGGGTAGAATGGGAATGTAGACACTTACTTTTGAAAGTGGACACTTATTTTGGGACAAACTAAAATAGAAATGTGAACACTTATTTAGGGACAAAGGGAGTAGTTATTTGATTTCTAACATGTGCACTTACAGATACACAATTGTATACACAAAACTAAGTCAGTGGTAATAAGAGATTCACTGCTACCTGGTGCTCTATGCCTAAAGTAACCACAATTGTGTAATTTTCAGAAGGGCAGCCAGGAAAATGAAAATGTCTTGGTGACAAACAGAGCAGTTTTCCCAAGAGGGAAGACAACCATTGAGATCAACAGCGCTTTACAATGAAATGGATGGTATTTCAACTTTCAAGTAAACTACTATTTCCTCAGCTTCCAATTCTTACACGCAGTCAAAGGCAGTCGTCAACTATGTGACATAAACTACATGAAACATCATCATAATTGAATCAAAAAATCCTTTGTCCCAATAATCTTACCTAAACAAACAAATCTCATAGGCCTGGTGCACCTTCCTTGTCTAATGAACACTAATCCACATCTAACTGCCTTAAGACATAATAAATTTCATTATGTTCATGAACGGCATTGCTAAATTCAATCTAACGAATGCAATATCTGTTTGCAAAGAGTGACCCAGGAACACCTTCCTTGACTATGAACTCAAACATATATCCAGTTTGTGCCTTAAACAAAATACATTTCATTATGCTCGTGATGCGTTTATCACAAACAGCATTGCCAAATTCAATCATACAGAAGGCAATTTCTGTTAGCAAAGGGCGACTCAGGTGCACCAAGGCTCCTTGGCTTTGAAAGGATTAGGAGCTGAAGTCTTTGTACTGAGTCTTTCCCTTGCATGTTTGCCAAGAGATTGTTCTTGTAACTCAAACATCTGGCCTTCCCTTCACAAAGTAGTAACCTTAGCGTTGCTCCTAGGCTTGCCCCTATTTTGTGTCTGGCACGAGTTAAGATTGTACCCATTTCAACAGAACACTAACATGTTGATCCAAATGATAAATGCCTGTAACAGTCCGCTAAATGTAAGATGCATACCCTTCCGTAGACAAGTACTTTCAAGACAGACAATAGATACAGTTTGCAAAATTATGATATGTGAACATCATGCAGATTGAAATACCAAGGAAAAGCCATTTTTTCCAATCTAAGTAGAAGGGCACATGACAAGTTAACGAGAAATTGAGCCAGATAAAGAAAGCTACCTGATGTTTGTATTCTCCTTTCTCGTTCATTGTAATAAAAACCTCAAACAAAGGGGAACCATCTGCAGCCTTGGCAAGCTGCCTGAAATTCAAAGGCAATGGACAAACACAAACCTTCAATATGACATACTATGGTACCACCAGAGATGATCAACATATCAGTCGATCGTTCTTTCACAAGCATTTAATTAGATCGAGTCACATTACTGAAATTCCTCCAGTTAACTTAACCCATAAACACAGGGATGTAGACTTCTACCTAAGTAATTGATACGCCTAAGATATCGTTGAATTAGGAGCCTTGCTTCAGTAAGGAGCGCATATTGCATCTATCTTTATGATAAAATAAAACAAAATCAAACAAAGAAAGCATCTTTAGGATAAACAATGCATTTTTTATCTTTATAAAAAAGGAAAGGGAGCAGTTTCCACAATAAACCTGCCTAACAAATATGATAATACTATGAAAATCTAACTACACGAAAGAAGGCCATGAAAATATGATGTTATAGTCTTATAGATAAGGGGTTTCATAACACTTACTAAGAGAGCATAGATTACTAGAGCATTGATGTAAGAAGATATACGAAGAAAAAATAAGAAATGAGAATCGTCCCAAGAAATAGTAGTATGAAGTGCTGATAAGATTCATCAACAACAGAGGGAGTTCAACCAATAGCACAAACATGTCGACCATTATCTGAGAAGGCTTTCTGAATAGGACTGGTTTCCGAGTAAAATAATGAAAATTGGACATAAAAGATTAGCTACTCTACCTGGGGCTATAACTTCTTGCAAGATACCTTCCATGTTCTGCACTTATACAGATAATACGACCATATGGGTCTTTGCTATCATCTGAGAATCCAGCCCACCACCCCACCTAAAATGCGAGATGAAGAACATAAAGTAAACCATATGTGAAAGCACATAAATAAATTGAATGTAGTTAAGAAATTCCAAGACGACAAGACTAATTAATAGGGACTACTAACACATAAATGGACTTCACAAATATTCAATAAATGAAGAAATCAAGCACATGAATGAAAATATTTCCTTCAGATGAAAAATAAAAAATAACTAGGGCAAATGGTCCAAAAATAGTGGGCAAGAAAACTTGACCTGCCATAGAGGTAGAATAATTTTCTTGCACTGAAGTTAAAAATTCTTGTTAGAAGAAGCTACAGGAAAAGGCAACACATGGATATACACGGACAGTCTTATGTGGGAAGACACATTTAATGTATCATAAGGTTTTGCTAATATATGCCTATATTTTTTCACAATGGATCAATTATAGTTCCATGCAATGCCAATCATTGAGAAAGATTTTTGTCAACATAGATGGGATTTCCCTCTTCACACAAGCAATCATTCCATTGATGTTGCAGGTTACATCTAAATAGCTTTGTCTAAGACTAATTGTTGAATCTTTAGGAAGCATAGGCCCACTTGCATAAATGGTCTCCATTACTACCCTCAATCCACCATCCTGAATATAACCAGCTGAGAGTCAAACAGCTCCTTCACGCCAAAAATGGGTCTTCCAATGTGTGCACCAAGATGTTGCAACATGTATGGGCATTTGAGCCAACTTAGATCAAGTGCTAGATCGAAATTGAATATGCCTTCTCCCTATGCATGCAAATTACTCATAGTCATACTAGATAAACCACCTTTTACTAATGAATGCAACAAACACAGAGGTTTAATCTAGCACTACAATCCCAACACTCATAACAAAAATTTTGGTGCCAAATCATGAAAACATTGAAGTTCCAATATGCAGCCGATGATCCAAACATAGTCAGCTTTACAAGAGCAAGACTAGAAAGACACATGATAAAAGGAGTATACCAAGGAAGAGAAATATTCAAAGAAGATGCAAAATTTTCGTTTGTAGCAACTAATTTAGTTGGTACATTGCAATAGTTAGGTATGTACAAACTTTTAGTTTCAAGACTTGTTGGAGCTTCTAGAGTATTCCCAGTTTCATAACTACTACAGCCAAAAGGAGTCATCATCGATTGCGCAAGAATTTTCAAGATTCATTAGCACTTAGCAGACCTCCTTGTGTTGTCAACCGTCACTGCTACCACTAAAAGCTGAAGGAAGATTTTATAAATATGTTTATGATGCTATACTCCAGCAATACCGTTCTGAAAGAAGCAATATCCCAAGCTAGTGCTATGAAAAGAAGTCCAGCCATACTGTTCCACAAAACAAACCATATGCATGGGGATAACACGATCTGGTGAGCTATGGCTAGTATGGCGAAGGCAAACATGCATTAGTTGTAATGATCCATTACAGTGAGATCTGTCATTTTATTCCTGTCCTGTTAATCAATGTCACGAGTATGAAGCCTGTGCCGCAGCTAGCTTAACCACAGAGGCTGCATCGTCACTTTGACCTCATAGAGTTACGTGAAGAAACATTAGCATGTATTCGTAAATTGTGGCTTGTTTTATCGAAATGTGTGTTGAATGACAGTCGCACAGTCAAAACCGAGTCTACACTTCTTTTCCAAAATCATGAGTGCAACAGATATTGAGCACCCCTTAACATAACTATGTGCATGCTGCACACTCAATTTGTGTTTATATGGTTTGAGATTGATGGGGCTTGGTTTGGGGAGTAGGATGGTGATAGCAACATGGCAACGTTCAAGAACAAGTAACATTAAAAAACACCATATTAAAGTGACTATGCAGCCTCTGTTAGCAGCCTCTGTGAATGTAAGAGAAGGTTGTATCAACTCACCAAACCTGCACTAGCATAATCTCGTACAAATGTTGCATCCTTGTAATGCTCTTCCTTTATGGCTTTCTGCAACATAACAAGGTAGAGCAGTAAGGAAATTGTAACTGTATATGTGATGCTCCTTAGTTAAAAGTTATAACAAAGTAGATCATTCTCTTACATTCAGGCGACACATCACCCTGCCAACAGTGTCATTAGTAGCAGCTGCAGCAATTGACACCTTAATCCTGGCAGCATCTTCGTAGTCCTCTTTAACAACGGCACGGTTTAGTTGCGACTGTAGGGACATGCAAGTCAGAATGCCAGTATACAAATGTTATCACAAAGATCAAGACATTATTGAAATAATCTAGGTACACTTGCAACATAATAGCCTACGTCAACACTATCATGACTAGAAAAAAATCTTGATCATACAGACAAGTATGAATTGACAAGCTCTATGTTCCAAAAAAGAATAGAATTATCTCAAAATATGTTATAATCATATCTTAATCTTCAACTGGCTAACAGCAACTGCCTGCATGCAACTTTTCATCTTCACCATGTAGCCTCGGCCTTCCCCCCTCTTAAAAAAAAGAGTAATACTACATTTGTACAATGAAAATTACAAGATTCTACTTCACACATACTTTAAACGTGTGTTAACCTTATGGACCAAATGCAATAGCTTTATAGTTTCAGCCGATTATATTGAGATTTTTCCCAGAATTCAAAAGAACAAGTTTCGTGCAAAAGACGTAAATGGAGATTGCAGCAATATGCATGCCGAGGGAGAGTGAATGCTTTCAATTTGCACTAAAAAGTAAAATGTGTTTACTGGAGGATTGGATTTTAGTTACACCGAAAGCATAGTGATGGTATCACATGTTAAAATTTGAGTAGCATACCCTAACAAAGTAACAATAGTGTACCCAAGAATATTCAAACCCAATACCTGCAAGATAGAAACAATACGTTCCTGCTCATCAACCTCCGTGAAATGCTTCTTCCACCGTTCCCAATCCCAATCTTCATCACCATCACTATCCATCACCACCTCAGCTTCTTTCTTCACACCATCACCACCAGAATCATCCTTCTTCATTTTGATGTTTTCCAGATGAGTCTTACGATATCCATCCATGTAATCATCGAACCACTTGATCATATTCCTAACATTCTCTTGAAACCCCGAATCCCATCGGCCAGGGCTTTCGTCGTCCCTGCTGCTGCTGTTGCTGTTGCCCATATCGTTGTTCTTTTGACATCGACAGAAAGTCGAAGAATCCGAAACCCTAGATAGAGATTGAGCGAATCGAGTGGATGAATAGTTTGATCGTCGGTTCAATCGGGAGGTGGTGCTGAAGTTAGGGGTTGCGTAGGTGAGTTTGTGAGGAGTTGCATCAGAGCTGCGAGCGGAGGAAGGGAAGATCGGGGGAGACATAGACGCCATTGAAGATAAGAGAGGTTGGGTTGTAGAAAATTTCAATGGATAAGGGAGGCGGTAGGGTGGCGTCCGGTGGAGTGAGGGCGGAATGGGGGAGCAAGACAGCGCGTTAAGGCGGAAGAATGGATCAGGTGGAGCTGCCCGTCATACGTGGATTTTGTTTTTTTTCTCTTAATTTTTGTAAGTTAACAAGATTTACTTAAAAGGCATTTGCCTTAGCGTTGCTTATAAAAACAATTTATTGACTTATTTTTGTGTGACATCGGTAATAAATATTTTTGAATGTTTGGATAAACAGTTTATACCAATGCCAAACTGGTAAAAAAAGTTTTTGAAGAAGTTAAACTCTTCTGACTTATAATAAATTGATAAGTGTTTTTATAGAAAAACATAAGTTGTTTCAAATAAGCAACTCAAACACCCCCTTAATAAGGTGCAAATAAGTGAAGTAATTAGTCTATTTTATTTATATTTCCAAAGTTTCTTATAATAGAGTCACAAGGTTAAAAAATTAATATAACTTATAAAGAGGTATGCATATAGCTAGACCCTTATTATACGTTCCTTTCACTTTCTCTCTCCCTCCCCCTCTCTCTCTTCATAGATTAAAAATGATGTCGTCGGTCACGATTCATGTCTTCTTCATCACCGACAACTTCCCCATTATCCCCTATAGTTGCCACGACGCTTGACCACCATCGAAGCCGTCCCTGTCTATAACCATCTTTCGCTCCCTGAACTGGAAGACATAATCCAGTTGTATACAGGAAGATGGAACCCAATTGCAAAACTGAAACCTTCTGGGTGTGTAACCGTCCCTAAATCCAATTTTCCAGATCCATCTAGCACCACTAGAATGATAAGTTCAAATTTGTTTTATGTTGTGAGAATTAAGTTTTAGCTCAACCTAATCTGATTATGTGCCAACGGAACCTGCAAGTAATCCCTTCTCTTTCTAATTGTCGATTGAACTCATTTGCTTTGTTTTCTCGATGGCAATAGTTAGCAAGGCTCTTCGAAATCTCTGCCATTTCTTTTGATTAAATCAACTCTTAGCTTCTGCAATTCCATTCATGTTCTGCAACGATGACAACCAAGATCACCTCGTCATTATTTTCCTGTGAAAACTTTTTAATATTTATATACGGCAAATAGAACAAATAAATTCACGCACCCTTCTCACATTTGGTGAAGTTTGAACCTTTGACCTCCTAGGATATGCCAAAAGCTCGCATACTGCTAGACCAAAGACCCTTTGGTAACACTAGTTGGTGGTTGTGGGCAAGCAAGTTTAGAGACTACAATTTTTGTTCTTTTGTAGATGTTCCATGATTCTATTAAAGGCCAACTTTGTTCCTCTGGTTTTATGTCTAGTTAACACTATTGGCATGGCATGTCTTAGACCGGTCAAATCTAATAATTCCTTTGTATATGTTTATATTTATGGTAATCAGGTCCCTAAGTGATATAGGAATTCTAAAAATTAAATTTGATGATTTGAAATCTGGTAAGATTACACAGTTTCCCCTTCTTTGATCTTTGTTTACTGCAATTTAAAATTTGTTGGATTGGACCAAATGTATGAATTGAAAAAGTACAGAAAGTTGGATCAACAAAGATCTTTAAGAAGGTATTTCTTAAGTTCTTGATTTATCTGCTTAAAGTTTTACTAGATCTTGAAAAACAGTGACCGATTACAATAGTATTGTGATACCATCATAATAACAAGAGCAAAACTGAAAAAAGAACCATACAAGAACTCGCAAAATATTAGCTCTAGGTTGTTCCTGTATTCCCACAAAAACTCAAAAAAGAATGTAACAAGTTTATTACCAAGAAAGCATGTACAACACGATCAACCCAACCCTTCCCAACGCGAAATAACTTAATTTGAAGCAACTCATATCTAATCGTGTTGTAAAAATTTTAAACCGTAGGTATTGATTTTATATTGGGTTACTATTATTTGAACCTTACCCAACCCGATGAACCCGTATCCTTTTATTTCTTGGATTTAATATGATTATTGAGTTTCTATTAATATGTACATTAGACAATTACATTATCACATACCCTCTTCATATACACATATTTTCAATCTATTCTTTATCTCTATATAACTCATTTGTATATATGTTCAGTAACTGTGAACATATACATGAAAATTGATAAAATTTAATTGAATGTGATATACGTAAGATTTAAGAAGCATGAATAAGTTGTATTAAATAGTTGATGATGAAAAAGAAATTATGAGTAGGGAAATAACATATTCAAGGTTAGGAAAATATTTTAATATATCAAAGTATCAACCTGACCAACCCGATTAACTCATACGGTTTGGGTTTGGGTTGAGTTGCACTTCGGTTTGGGTTGGGTTAAGATTTCTCAAACTGCAAGCATTGAGTTGTGTTGTTCAAATGTCTTCAACCCGATCAACCCAACCCAACCCAACCCACGTGCATCCCTAGTCATGATACTGCATAGAGAGTTATATATAATGTTTGTTTTGGACTTTAAGGGTGCTCTGTGATAACCCTGGGCATGTATCAACTCCGCCAGTGATTATGTAAATGTAATTAGAGAGCTGTTAAAAGATTAGTCTATGTGATTATGATAATTTTTTATCTGATGGACGTTTTGTGTTTAAACATGTGCTTATAAAAATTAAAACAATTTAGTATATTTAGCTATGTCTGTATAAATTTATATGATTATAAGAAATGTAATTTCTATTTTGTTCAAATATAAATTTTGAATTATGTTTCTTAATAGAAATCTGTATTAATTATCGACAGTTAATAATAAGATTTTATATCTTACTGCATCGCTTGAATACACGATTATTAAATCTATGACTTCTAGGAAACACAAAGGTATCGTTTGACAAACATAAGTTAGCTTATAAACTAACTTATTTTTTGAGTAATCGTTTGAATGCACATAAGCTAACTTGTTGATAAACTACTTGAAATAGCTTATGAATAATTTTTTGACATTTTTTTTAATTTTGACCCTAATTAATATTAATTATAAATAAATATTAATTATCCATAAATATCAATTTATAGTAGTTAAAATATATTAGTTAATTTTAGTTATACAATATATATTAATAATAGTTATTAATTATTTATATAGTTGACATATTATATTATTAGAAATTTGTTTTAATTATATTATGAAATATTTGTAATCGACTATTGTTTCAAGATGCTCCTTTTTGATTATTTTACATGTTTATAAGCTAGTTTTTGTCCAACATAATTTATTAATCAGCTAACTTATCCACTATCACCTAACTTATCAACTAGTTTACTAAACTCAACCAAATAAATCACTGTTGTTTGTCTTCGAGGAAACAATAATAGTCAGTTTCTAGAAAACAATTAATAAATGATTCGATTGACAAAAATACCCTTAAATAATTTATTTTTTAAAATATAATTAAAAAACCAAAATATCTCCATTTTCTAGAACAAAACCAAAAACAAATATAGAAGATTATAAACAAAATAAAAATGAATATCATATTCATATGTGTGCATTTATTATTCAAGGCAGACCAACGATGACTCATCTTATAAGATATGAAATATGAATTACAGTACGAGTCTCTTGTTTTATAAAGAACGTTATGATAGCTTCATTTACTGTGTAGGTGTTTGGTTGATACTAAGCCAATGATTTATTAAAGGGTGGTGTGGACGACATACATGGCTAAGTGACATGTATTTCATGGTGCTCGTTTTTCTCAGTTTTGAAGTAAGCTCAAACCATCCGACTCACGTGGCCCTACTGTTTAGGTGGTTCAAGGAATGGTCGGCATGGGATTATCGAATTGTGGTGTGGTCAAAGGTCAACATATATGCAAATAACTTCTAGTTATCATATATGACCATTAGAGCGATAAGAGAAAAAAAATCTATCGAGTATCGTCAAGCTCAAAAGTAAACTGCTAAGAAGTTTTGGAACAGTAAACGGTAGGGGTGTATACGGGTTGGTTTGGACGGTTTACAACATTTTTATAACCCAACTCAATTGTGGCGGTTTGGAAAAATCTCAACCCAACCCTTGCGGGTTGAGGCGGATTGGGTTGGGTTGGCGGGTTGGTAGTTACATAAAATTTGACGAATGATATAATTCATAAAACTGAAATTTATAGACCATATTATAAAGCGTTATATCTAAAAATATTACAATAGATTTATAAGACGTTTTTGGACGTTTCAACAAGTGTTTTAGAACGATCTTTAAATAAAATGTCGTATTAGTTATTTAATAGAAACATTTTGAGAAGTGTCCCGTAAATTCATCTATTTATAAGACACCTACGTTCACATGACATTTTTTCAAGTCGTGTCATATAAAATAACTAATACGACCTTTTATTTTAAAAGCATCATAGAATTTGTCAATACGTCTAAAATTATTCTATAAACATATTGTAACTCTTTTTAGATAAGACATTTTTCTTGTTTCGTCCTATAAAGTATCATATTATGACGTTAAGACATTCTAGACATTCTATAAGATCTAATGTTGTTGTAGCGAAATGCTATAACTGAACATTTTTTTCCACTAAACTACAACATAAAATGATGGGGTATTTAGATTGATGGATTCATCAAACAAATATCTATCAATATCATTCATATTCTCCGACATATCAATTTTGTTGTTGCTGCAAAAAGATTTCAATAATTTATCTTTTTAATTAGATTATTTGTCATCATTATCTGATCGTGAATCTCTTTTGATAACCTATATGTGTTTGCTAAAATGAAATACAAACATAATATCAATAAAAAATATATAAAATTTATACATTATTAATATATATATATACACACATAATAACATATATAAATAAAATTTTATAAAAATTATATATTTAGCAGCGGGTTGGGCGGATTGAGCTAGGCCCAACCCAATTTCAACCCTTCTAATTGGCGGGTTAGCGGTTTGGTGGATGGACGGTTTGGCAGTTAGGCAGGTTGAGTTTAATTGAGTTGTTAGCGGGTTAGGGTTTCGCGGGTTGACAACTTTTTGTACACCCCTAATAAACGAAACTATTATAGAATCATAACCGTACTAATCACAATTGTAAAAAGAAAAAAAAACAATCTATACATTGCAAGTCTGCTTAAAATCATGGACCTTAGAATTTTACTGTTTCATTCTAAATATTGATTATGCAAAATGCAAGAAGAAACGGTGAACTGTATAAAAATAAAATATATTTTAGACTGATTTCTAATTTAATTAACATACTTTCAAAACTTTCATTTTGACACCTAGATATAAGTGACGGATTTTAAACATTTAAGTACATCTTTTACCTAATCTATACTATCTTATAAACCAAAGTTTTCAAAAGTCTTAAAAACAATTTTTAATACACAAATTATTATACATTTATGCACAAAGTCTTAAAAGTCTTAAAAACAACTCATAATGCATTAAGTATTATTATTTTATGCATTTAGTCTTAAAATCTCTTTATAATCAAAATAACATATAGTGCAAGTTACCAATGCATATTATTACCTTTTATTTTCATGTTTTCAAGATACTTTTGATATCTTTCACTCATGTCTTCACCCTCTCATACATCTATGTCTTCTCCCCATCCCCCAAGGTGAGATTCAAACTGATATTCACCATAAGTTATTAAAAGTTCCCTCATTCATCTCTCATCCAATTGCTCTAAAACTCTCGGCCTCGCTCTTGATCTCTTGATTATTTGCTCTTGGTGTAAATCGAACACATTTGTGTAGTCGTTTAAATATGTTGAATTTTAAATATATTGTATTTTAAACTGTCATACAATTTTTTTCATTGATAGACTGTAATTGAAACCAAAACTCTTATTTATTCAAATTATATTATTATGTAAAGACCAAGTGTAACTTATATCATCGCTAAATCTTCTCTAATAAAACTAATGAAACTTCAAAATCGTAAGATTCATGGCTCCCACTGCATTACGCGGGTACACAACTAGTAACCTATAAATACTGATTACTTTCGATCCAATTTCGTTGACCATTAATAATTTTATATTTTTAAATGCCAAATAAGCACACAAAAAATCCATTTAATTTTTAAAGAATTGTAAAATTTGTAACGGCATATGCCGCATGAGCCATTGATTAATAAATATTACAGACCGTAAGTTTTTTAATGGTGCATTTTTTGCTTAGTTGGTATTTAAATAAAAATATCAGTGTCATGTCAGTAGAACCAAATCGTAGTCGAGATTTACAAGTCATCAGGTAAAAGAAATACATAGATATTTGAGATGTATCTTAAGAATCAGAATGAGAAATTTCAAAGTACATTACTTGTAATGTGAACTGGTACGAAGTATGCTCCAAAATTTTAATGCAAATTTTCCAGTTTTGATGAAGACATTAACTGTTATTTTATTGCACTACTTTGATTGATCGCCTTTTTGCAAAGTTTCGACTGGTAAAACAAAAGGGTCATGTTGAATCGTTACAAACTCTTCCATTCGAATTCATGACATTATCATGAGATTTATACAGTTACACACCCATGATCAATACCTCGGAGATGTATGAGCACATCTCAGGACGTGCTCTAATATCAGTTCTAATACTTCAAACCAAATAAATAAATTAAGTCATCATCTTTTTTTATTTTTTGATTAACCTGGATATCCAATCCGTTATGCGAGCCGACTAATACCAGAGCGACCATCCGCTTCGTGGGTATCCCTGAGTCACCATATTTGAACCTCCATAGCCACAAGAGGATTTTTATTCTTATTTGGATTTGAACCGGTGACCTTCAAACACTTTTAACATTTGAAGCTCAAGCTTAAACCGATCGGACACCACTCTTATACATTATTTAAGCTACTTTTTATTAACACGAGATGAGTAATGATCCATGCTTAATTTAAGTTGACTTGGGATCATGTGAGACCAAGTTTTTCGTGAGACCCGAAAGACCAATTCTCAACCCTTGGATTAGATCTACAATCTCAACATTCATAATCACAAAATTGACACGAGACTTTTCAATAATTATAAAATTGTCACCGTGCAACTTTAGATCATTAGATTATAAAGTTGATCAATGAACATAAATTGGTCTCACGAATCTCACGAAAAACCCTTGGTCTCACATGAACCCAACCCTAATTAAGTTTAGACATAAATATAATTTGAGACAACAAAAAGGATTTTATTATATAAATAAAAATTTAAATTACAACATAGGAAAAAGAGCAAAGACATTAAATATAGAATAATCCTTTATAATTAGGTTAGATTTTACCTTTGTCTTTATTTCTATTTAGTATAATTAATAATTATATATATTTTTAATTTTTATAATAAATATTTATTTCTTCATATTTCGTATCTATTTTGATAGATTATCAGCAGATCTAGCAATTTTGATGATATCGTTATCAAGTTATCAAGTCATATTTTAATTCTTGATTATATGAAACGACACGTCAAAATCAATCAATGTCACGTACATCGGTTTTTGAAAACCTATATATCGTGTAAAATGAGTAGAAAATAAGAAAAATTAACATTCGCTACAACAAAATCGGGTTTATAAAACGCCATCGATTTCAAAGTGTCTTAATAGACTGTTTTATGAGACTCAAATTATATGACCAAAAAATGAAGAGTCATATTTAAAGACGTTATAATAAGTTTACATGACGCTTTTAAACGTCTTAATAATTTTTTTAGAACACTTTAATATAAAAGCGTTACATTAGCTATTTTATAAAAAAAATGATGAAACTGATCCCACAAAACTTGGAACATACGTGTCTAAGTTGTAAAGAAAGAAAGAAAGAAAATGAGACATTATTGAGCGAAAGGTGAGGTGTAAATGCAATCGGTTTTTGAGGTGGAATACTCACCATCCAAGTCCTCATCCTTATCCTTCTTTACTTCATCATCTACTATTTATCTTCTACCACTAAATTTTATATATATATATATATATATATATATATATATATATCGAGGATTGAGTTTCGATAAAAATGAGAGTTAAGATGAGAAACGTAAGAATAGATTTTCACCGATGAATGTATATTAGGATGAGATCTACCGAGATAAGATGCACTGAATTAATTCCAGTGAGAAATGTAATTAGTAGATAAGCAAGAAATTAAAAGTGATCAAAGGTGCAAATCCCTTTTTCTCATACAATCATATATATATATATATATATATATATATATATATATATATAGGGTTAGGTTTACGTGAGATCAAAGGTTTTTCGTGAGACCCGTAAGACCAATTTATGTTCATTGATCAACTTTATAAACTAATGATCTAATGGTCTAAAGTTGTACGGTGACAATTTTGTGATTATTGAGAAGTCTCGTGACAATTTTGTGATTATGAATGTTCAGATTGTAGATCTAATCCAATGATTGAGAATTAGTCTTACGGGTCTCACGAAAAACCTTTGGTCTCATATGATCCCAAGTCTATATAATACACACATACACACACACACACACACACACATATATATATATATATATAGAGAGAGAGAGAGAGAGAGAGAGAGAGAATGGTTCAAACGAGAACACCTTCATTTTATGAGAACGTAAGAACACCTTTATCACATGTGATAATACGCGTAAAGGGACCTTATAATGTACAGACGACCTGTTCTCCGACTTAGCTGAAAATAATTATTTATAAACAATACTGAAAACACATAAATTTCACCAATAGTTATACAAATTTTTTATTTTTATTTTATTAAAATGATAACAAAATGGAAAATATATAAAAATAAAAAGTAAACTTACAAATTTCATACTATTTCTTATTTGTAATTATAGCCATCGACTTTATATATGTATCGTTGAAATATTTGGTTCTTGAAACTAACGTTGTTACGTTTGAGGGGCCAGTGACATTATGTACACATGTATAACAAATATCGATCATATCAAGCTTATTTGATGATCAAGGAAACAACATATTTGACCCATTTTGTTCAACGTATGGGACCACGAATGCCTTTCAAATTGCTTCCACATTCATTTCAAATAGCAGTAATCCTTAACTATCAGTTGTCACTAAAAGCAATGCAATAATGGAATCTGGATAGTGCATATGCAACAACAAAATCCAAAATCTCGTCAGAAATCTAAAAATTACAACTTTCCTTTAAACCATCTTCAAGTACAAGTAGTTCAACCGAATACAGGTTGATGCATGGAACACTAGCAGTTTTTTCAGTCAGTATAGCCTCTTTCAGAATATTTATAGCCTCTTTTTTTATATTAATCTGCTTATTCATCTTTTCAAAATTTTGACTTAATCAATTCATCTACTAAAATGGGTCTTAAGATTTTTTTTTTCATCTCTGGGTCAACATAGACAAAAGAAAATGATTTGACCAAAATGCCCTTACAAAATACATGTGCTTTGAACATGACAAATTTAATATACATTCATCAAATGAGGTTGTTTTAGGGACTAAATTATAAAAAACGACTATATACCGAGCATAACTGTAAATTAGAAATAGTTGAGGGACTAAACATGTAAATTACCTTGAAAGAAATAATGGAGTGGAGACCAAAGAGGGTGTTTTCAAAAAGCATATAAAGACCAAAGGGATTGAGAAAAAAAGGATGTTATGCTACCCAAGGTTTCAGGAGAGCTTAATAGAAAGACAAGTGTAGTTGTACATCGTGCTTTGGAAGTTGTACTCTTGAATCCAGATGAGGGTTGGCTTACGGTGGGCACCTGCTGTATATAAACAATATCTACGTCCTACAACTATTGTAAGTATATTAACTTTTTTAATGTTTTGGGTAATATAAACCTGGATATCCAACCTACTATGCGAGTCGACTAATGTTCGGAGTCACCGTATTTAAACCTCCGTGGCCACAAGATGATTTTTATTTCTCATTGGATTTGAACTTGGGACCTCCTGATACTTTTGACCTTTGGAGTCAAACTCAAACTAATTAGCCACCACCCTTGTGGTTATTTATCGGTAATTTCAATCAACACTATACGAAACCGTCTTGTAGGTACCACATGTGAAAAGTCATTTAAGAGCTGACTTAACGACTGAAGCTAGCGAAAGGGTTCAAATCCGTCTTCTGACGATATTGGGTTTTAAGATAATTTAGAATATTACTATATTCTTTTAAAAATATAGAATCTTTTTTCTTTTTTCAAAAGGAAAAATATGCTTTTAACAACCTTTCTAAAAATAAGTTGATAAAAATTTCGTCAATATGATATTGTTGATTGCCGTTTTCTTTATAAATATGTTTGAGAACAGTTTTGTATTATGGAAATCTTGTGAATTAGGCTCTGTTTGGGAAAATTACTGAAATTAGCAAAAAGTTAAAGTTATAACTGAACATAAGGGTGGTGTTTGATTTGTTTGAGCTTGACTCTAAAGGTCAAAAATACTAGGAGGTCTCAGGTTCAAATCCAAAAAGGAATAAAAATCCCATTGTGGTCACTGAGATTCAAATGCAGTGACTTCAAGCTATCTACAAAATAGGTGGTCGTCCTGGGATTAGTCGGCTCGCATAGCGGGTTATATATCAGGTTAATAAAAAAACAAAAATACATGTAAAATAATATTTTAAATTATAAGTTTTAATTAAAAAATCATATAAAAAATATAAAGTGATCTTATTAATGGCATTTTTAAGATGAATTATGAATGTTTAATTGAATGAAACAATGGGGGGATTGCAACAACTTGGAATTTGGTAATTAGTGCAACTACGTAGAGAGAAGGTTTAACTGGAGTGATGAGTTGTCATGGGCAGACAGCTTTTCCTATTTTCGGCAAGCATAGATTTCTCCGCCTTTCTTGGAATGAAACAATTGTTCTTGATCTGGCCACCAATACCCAGTTGGTAGCCTTCCTATATATTCTCATGCATCGCCTCTATCTAGCTAATTTGATGAAAAAGAGACATCATTCTTTAGACCCAGGAAACCCATCAAGAAAACCCCTTTAATTTTCTTTGAAAATGGCGCAGTCAATTCTTGGATCTTCTTCCCCTGTCTACGAATCAGAGTTTACAAGATCATCTGCTTCAACATCAACTGTAATCTCTCCTTCTCTTTCTCTCTCTTTGTGTGTGTGTGAAGTAAATGTGTATGCGGTATGCAGAGAAGGTGTTTGATGATATGACTCTGTGGACTTTATTATTGATTGTTGTCTTTTTGTTTTATTCTGGGGCAGATCTCCGGTTCTGAGTTGAAGTTTTCGGGAATTGAGCAGATACGGTTGGGATTTCTGAATTCTTCCAAGTATGTCTTGTACAAAGTTTTCAGTGCACAATAAATTTAAATGTTTCATTCTATTACAACTTTGTTTTCTATAATTCACTGTGTGTTTCAAGTATTCATCATTACTTGCAAAGTTTTCTTATTAAACAAGATAAGATTCCTATTTGGTTCTTGTTCTTGATTCTTTCTGAATTGAAGTGAACAGTACCCTAACTGCTTTCAAGTTTAAGTTTGTGTTTATATTTGAGATAGATATTTACTCTATCTTATTTGTAGCAGTATAGGTGTTCGATGTTGCATGTACTGATAAAAGAAATTGATCAATGGTAAAAAACAAAATTGCTTATGTATGAGGAGTAGATCCACCCCAATATGGTACGGATGCTTAGAGGTGGCAAAAGTCAAACGTGCTTTCTAGTTTTTGTCTGAAGCCAACTATGGTTGTAATTTGAATCTGGTACAGACTGGGCCTTTCTTTTTTCACAGTGGATTTGATCAATATATCCAAAGTATTTACTTGAGCTTAAAAAAGATCTTTTCAAGATCTATAAATGGGCTGATTTAATCAAGCGGAGTTCGAAGGTGAGCCTCTAATCAAGGCTTAGGGAACTTGACTCTTTATAAGCTCATGTAGACTTGCAGAAACAATTAATTCTTTCTTTTGGATCTTCATCTGAGTAAGTCAGAGCAAGAACTGGTCCTTAAATCTGGCTTGATTGTCATCTTTCCCCATTAGGCTAAACTTGAAATGTTATTGTTTCTTAACTTAGTCCAGACTCTAGAGATCTCTTTCTTGGTGCAAGAGCTTAATTGGATAAAATTTCCATAACCACTTGGTTCATATGTCACAAGTATCTGATTTGATTGTTTGATGATTTATAGGAAAGACATAATTTTAAGATTACAGACACCAATGCAACCTTCGGGATTGAGCCCAAGAGATAAGCATGTCCTTATTTTGGTTTATTGTATCTGCATGTGGTAGTTGATGCTTCAATTTACTAAGAAATCTATTCTATTTTTCTTCAACTATCTGCCTCACACATTTACAGGAGCAATCTTGCTTTGAGATTGAAGGCCTCAAGGGAGGGGGTAGGTCTGGTTCAAGAAACTACAGAAAAGACACCAAAACTTGTAAAGAAACCCAAGGATGGCAGTGATTCATTCACTGAGATGAAACAGAGGTTCCTGAGTTTTAAAAGACAGAAATACTTGTAAGTGCCATTATCTTTAGCCGAAATTCTGAATATGGAGTCTACTAGCATCCATTAATTTAAGACATTATTCTTGGACAGGGAAAACTTGGAGTGCTATCAAGAACTTGCTCAAGCACAAGCCCCAAAGGTGTTTATCTATTAGTTATTATCATTCTGTCTTAACTATCCAGACCTGTTATTCTTTGCCAAAATGGTATCTTGTTTGCTGACTGACAATTGTAAGAACAGTTCCTGGTGATTTCTTGTGCAGATTCTAGAGTTTGCCCCTCCTATATTCTAGGATTTCAACCTGGTGAAGCCTTTGTGGTCCGTAATATAGCCAATCTTGTTCCACCATTTGAGGTATTCTGTTTGGTCTTTCATTTATTTTTTTAATTTCACTGGTTTTCTTTTGTCTTTCTTCTGATAATATTTTGGGATGAGTATGAATCCCTTGTTCTGTTTTTTATGATTAAAAATAGGCATAAAAGTAAGGAACTTAATTGCCTTTGAATTTTTGATTTTGAGAGTTGTTTCCTTCACGGGTACACGTCTTTATGTTCTTTCTGATTTCATGTGCAGAATGGACCATGTGAAACCAATGCTGCGCTTGAATTTTCAGTGAATACTCTCGAAGTAAGAATACTTTTCTGATAATAACATTGAAATATGCTGTAATTATCTTCTAATTTGTAAATTCAGCTGGAACCTATATTTCCTTAAAATGAAGTTTATTTTGCTCTTCTAGAAGTTAGATATATCCCATCTTGCTAAAGAAGAGGTAAAAACTTTTGACATCAAACTGTTCTTATCTTATGAAGTGATATGAAGCTTTCAATTTTAAAGAGAAGTATGCCAACCTTATAACGAAGCTACAAAACAACTATGTTGCTTAATATGTACAAAAAATGATCCAATTCAAGACCAGACCTTTTTCATGATGTTTCGACTTTCAAGTGATGTACCTACATTGCAGTTTTCGCACTGGGCAACCTATTTCGAGGAGTTGAAACCTTTATATGCAGTCTTGTTTTGATTTCTCTTCATCAATTGAGTGATTAATTTATTATTTATGAGGAATCGTCCTGACTCAACTTGATGCTCATTTATGCATCTTTTGAACTTGGATAAATTAAAGAGTGTTGCTGGATCTCTCAGACCATGTCTTCAGTTCATGGTGAATAAACAGAATTTGATTATAAAATTAATTGCAGGTTGAAAATATACTGATTACTGGCCATAGCTGTTGTGGAGGCATTCGTGCCCTCATGGGCATGGAGGACGAAGAAAAGTCAAGGTTTGGCTAACATAATATTTTTCTTGTTCTGTGACTTCAGTTTTTTGTGTTACTGTATGATTTCCATGCTTATTGGACACGTAGTCTAATATAACTCTGCTTGCTTTTTCAGTAGCTTTATCAAGAATTGGGTCATGTTAGGGAAGGCAGCAAAATCAAGCACAAAAGCCACCACTTCTAACCTCAGCTTCGACCAGCAGTGCAAACACTGTGAAAAGGTGCGAATGGTTATGTTCTTTTACCAACTTAACGCGTCTTTCATCCGCTATTTGGGAATTTTACCTCTTCAAAAGTGGCTAGCCTAATTTAAGCTGCTACAATTGGAACACAAAATTGCGTGTATTTATCTAAGTCGAAGGTGGTAAATAATAACAGTTTCAGAAAATGAAACTAATATGTATTCACTCTAAAACAGACTACTCCTCCAGCTTTTCTGATAGTCAAACAAAAAGTTGACTCTTGAGGCCGGACAAACTAACATTTTAATCTTCATAAGTAGCACAAAGTTTGGAAAATAATTTAACAAGCACATCAAACTTTATATTGAATGCTACACTTAGAAAATGATGGAGATAAACACTCCCTCTATTTTAGTTTGTCCCAAAATAAGTGTCCACTTCTCAATTTTACCTTAATTATGAGATAAATAAATTCATTAGCCCTTTTATCGTTAAAGGGTAAAATTGTCATTTGGTCAATTAAAAAGTGCAATAATTACACATTTCTAAAATTGTGCCCCTTTCTCATTGTGAACATTTATTTTGGAACGGAAGGACTATCATAAAGGAACTCCGTATGGATGTTTAGCCTGTGACATGAGAAGTGAAATTGCAGCTTTTTGTTGCATTTGGTGGGAGTAATAATTTTAGGTGGTCTGTTTCTCTGTCAAAAAAGTTGCATTTAACACATACATATACCCTTATGCTTGTTCTCTCATGCCTTAACCAGTTATGGCAAAATCCATTTGTTTTATGATATTTTTGAGTTTATTTCATCAAACTTTTCAGGAATCAATAAACCATTCACTATTGAACTTGCTAACATACCCATGGGTAGAAGAACGAGTGGCAAACGGTCTGCTTTCTCTCCATGGTGGCTACTATAATTTCGTAGATTGTACATACGAGAAGTGGACTCTTGATTACCAGAAGAGCAGTACAAAGCAGGCAACCGGTGGGTACGCCATCAAGAACCGTGAATTCTGGCAATGATGTTATGCTGTTCTTATTCTTCTGTCGATATTATTAACTCGATAAAAACGTGCCCATATCATAAGACTGTTGTTTGTTCTGTATCGTTGGATACAATTTGTGGGGTGTTTTTTTGTTGTTGTTTAGATCTCCTTTCTTTCTGTTTGTCCAGTTCCATGATAGGATCATAGTGAAATTTATACATCATCCTTTCTGTGTACTATAAATGGAACTTTGTTTCTGAAGCACAAACTTATTGCATTAATTATTATGAAGTGAGAGCACTATGCAAGTCTAAAGAGTCGGGAGTCAAGAAAGTCATGGGGTACAAAGTGTTAGGCTTAACTCCTGTTGCTTGACGTACATAGCGGTAAGAAGTGGTGTTAGGCTTAACTCCTGAACAGTTTTCATCTTTCATATAAAATGGTAAAACTGAAAGAGTGCTATTTAAACCATGATTTTTCCAAAACACACCATGTTCATGATGAAAGCTTGTAAATCAGAACACCCATTTAAATATGAAATCAAAATCCAATACTCACTCAAAACGTGGATACACCATGATATTCAAATACAGTAACATAGTGAAACACCAATAATATCAATATGGACAAGACTCGATATTTAAAACGACAATTCATGGCCAACACTCCATGGCCAAAACACCGAAAGCATGGATAACTCAATACCCAAAACAACACCTTTCGCTGGCGAGGCAAACCCTTTTTCATTGAACGTGGCGGAAACAAAAAAGTATGCCAACCATAAGGGTGGCGCCTGATTAGTTTGAGCTTGACTTCAAAGATCAAAAGTACCATGAGGTCACAGGTTCAAATCCAAGGAGGAATAAAAATCCCCTTGTGGGCACGGATGTTCAAATGCGGTGACTCCGAGCTATCTACAAAGCAGGTGGTCGCCTGGTATTAGTCGGTTCACATAGCGGGTTGGATATTCAGGTTAATAAAAAAAAGTATGCCACATATATAATTTTTTATTTTCATAATACACATAGTCCTTACACTTAACAATGTTAGTTAACAACCATTAGTAATTGGTCTTTAAGAAAACTTTAAAGAACAAAAATGTAATCTCTAATATACAATGTAATTCATGTTTTTTTTTTGAATTTTGAATTAAAAAAATATTTTATATATCAATTCACAAATAAAATATATTAAATAAAGTAAATATTAAATAAAAATCTTTATACTTGTTTAAAAAATATAAAGTTCACAAAAAATATTAGCTTTAAAAAATCTTAAATCTAGAAAAACAAAAGAAATCAAAATAAATCCACGTCTTTTGAGTTAAGAATTGAAATCTGCAGACAAAAATATTGAAATTAAGTTCGGTTAACTGAGATTAATAATAAATAGTCAAACTACAAATAATTACAATAACAACAAAATATAAATTAATAAGTTAAGATTAGAAAAACACTAATTATTCAAACAACTAAGAAAAAACTATCACTACAACAAAATTAGGTTTATATGACGCCAAAAAAATTAAGCGTCCTAATAGACCGCTCTATAAGACCAAAAATAAAGCGTACTATCTAAATGCATTGCAGTAGGTTATATGACTCTTTTAGACGTCCTAACAAGATTTTAAAATACTAATAATACAAAGCGTCACATTAACAATTTTATATGAGACTATTAAAAAAGTTTTCTATAAAAACAAACGTCGCATAAAAAATGGGTTTTTAGGACGCTTAATTTTTTGGCGTCATATAAACTTAATTTTGTTGTAGTGATAGTTTTTTCTTAGTTGTTTGAATAATTAGTATTTTTCTAATCTTAATTTATAATCTGTATTTTGTTGTATTGTAGTTGTTTGTTGTTTGACTATATATTAATAATCTCATGTTAACCGAACTTAATTTTCAATATTTTTGCTCGCATATTTCAGTTCGCAACTCAAAATATATGTGAATTTATCTCGATTTCTTTTGTTTTTCTTAACTTTAGATTTTTAAAGATAATATTTTTTATGAAGAATATAAATATTTTTATTTAATATGTGTTTTATTTAAAATATTTGATTCTGGATATATAATTTTTTTTTTTCGTAAAACATTAAAAAAAAAGATGAATTATATTATATATTAGAGCAGATTGCATTTTTGGTCCATAAAGTTTGTTGAAAGACCAATGAGTTCTTCATAATGGTTGCTAACTAACATTGTTAAGTTGAGGGACACTTAGAGATTGAAGGTGTCCTATCAACCTCATCCATATCCTTGAACCCGTTCAAATCAAAACTATCTCCTATCCATCTGTATCCCTAACACCGCCCTCTTCCCCCTCATTCATTACCCTTTTTAAATTCGAATGTAGAAGATGAGAATGAAATCAGAAAAATTGGGTATATATTTGCAACAATGGTAGGTCGGTGGAAAATGAGATATTTCATTATTAAACCTAAATTAAGTTATATTTAAAAATAGAATTAGCAAAAATAATACAAAAAACGAGAACTTTTAAATTGTTAATTTGATTATGTTTGATGGTAGTAGGTTATATTGGGTGGTAATGGAATGGATTGTATTGGGTCTTATTTGGTCATCTTTATGATGGTTGTAATGAGTAATAATGCATTGTATAGGGTAGTAATAAGTCGTATTTTTGTCATCTTGGTTTGTAATGAATCATATTGGATGATAGTTGGTTATATAGGTGATACTCGCTAACCATCATTGAATTGCCATTTTATTCATTCGCTCTTGATTTTGTTACATTTATGACGATCGAGATTTATCTTTATTTTTTGAAGGCGAAAAAACCCTGTTGTGATTGGATTTCTCGTTATCATGGACCAGTACTTGTTTTTTGCTCCCTCCATCAACACATGAAATAACACTGATTCAATAACCCATGTGTGGCATATATTAGTAAGGTATGAGGTACATAAACCGGTCTCCAGTATTACACAACAATGCAAATTAAACACATAAATAATCAATTAATCTTCAAGGAATGGTGATGATTTGTAGTAAAGCAAACAAATCACATGTTCTTACAAAAAGAATTCTCTAAGGATGGAAGTCCTCTGAAAACTCGAGAATGGTTGGCAATGTGGGCTTAGGCAGGTCATGTATTTCTGGCACCTTTGGTACTTCTGGTTTGGGCAATGTTGGCAGCTCAGGGACCCGGGGCTTTGGAATCTATGGTTTTGGGATCTCAGGGACTGTAGGCTTTGGAATCTCATGAAATGTGGGTTTGGGAATCTCAGGAAGTGTGGATTTTGGAATCTCAGGATGTGTGGGTTTGGCAATTTCAGGAAATGCGGGCTTCGGAATCTCAGGGACCATGGGCTTCAGAATCTCAGGAACTGCGGGTTTAGGGATCTTAGGGACTATGTGCTTTAGAATCTTCGAAATTGTTGGTTTTGGGATTTCAGGGACAGTGGGCTTTGGAATCTCAGGAACTGTGGGCTTTGGAATATCAGGAAGTGTGGGCTTTGGAAGCTCAGGAAGTTTAGGCTTTGGAACCTCAGGCATCGCCGAAAGATTACGTGCCTCAACACATATTATCCGATCATCGATTGATGCCAAAGTGATTGAAACTAGTATGAGAAGAAAGGAAGTGAGGTGGGAATGAACCATTGCTATTGCAGGTTGTAGAGGATTGAAGATGAAGAAGCTAAGAAAGCGTTTTAAAGAGGACCGAAAAAGTTAAGAAAAAGTTTTTGAGAATGTATACGTCTTGATACAAATTTATATAGAAAATGTAAGACATGGAGAAGAGAGATACATTGATAAGTAGGTGATAATCATACATAAATTAGCTTTTTTAGTTCAGCTTCTTATCTATAAAGAGGACTTAATTGCATACGGCTGATTTTAATCTGCTTCAATATTTTGCTGATTGATTAAATATTCATGTTTTATCAATTAATCGTTTTCTATGATTTCTTTCTATCTCGTACATTACATTTTAATGATGTCTATCATCATATAAAATAATTCTTTTACGGTTTACGAAAGCATGTTAAAAAAAATATCTGGACTAACAACTTAACACCTACTTATTGCACCAAAATTAGCTGAAAAAGGTTGAATATTAGGCCATCCCGCAATTGCCAATTCAGACACTCTAGTTTCGAAAATCGTTCAACATCTCAACCATTTCTGGTACAATTACGTATGTATCCTTACAATAAAATGGCATGCATGTTTAGCTTATTAAGAACTAACCGTTTCTGTAAACCCACACAATCAAAACTTGTAAAGCAACCCAAGGATGGCAGTGATTCGTTCGCTGAAATGAAACAAATATTCCAGAGTTTTGGAAGATGTTGGTGATTTCAGCGTCATCAAACATACATTTTGGTGTAATTGTGATTTATTTGAGATCGATTAAGGTGATAAGGCAAATATACGTAAGTTAGTTAGGAGGTGCGGACTGCACACTTACAAATGTTGCCCCTATCATCTTGGATAGTCATAAAACGGGGGTCAACAGGACTGCGCCCCTAGAATTTCCTACGTTTTGTGTGTTTTTCAACCATTGGTAAGCCATCGCTGAAGGTATTATTCTGCCTATCGCTGAAGAGCCTCAACTGTTGTTGAAAAGCCATCGTTGAAGATGTATTTTCCAGTACTTAAGATTCGATTGTAACTATCTTTTGATCTTATCCATTAACAGTTATAACCTTTTAACCGCTAAGAATCATCGATCTCTCATTTGAATATGTAAAACGAGAATCTAGGTGTGTATATATATATATATATATATATATATATATATATATCTCGTTTTTCACAATCTTTGGATATGAGAGAAAAACCAAGAATGATCCCAATACGAAATTCTTGAACCCAACGCAAACAAGGGTCGAATTATTGCATTCGGATCAAAGTGCTTTTTGACATGATTCTTGAGTTTAATCCGATCTATAAATCATTCCCTATACACAGTCCCTAACAAAAGATACAAATATTTAGGGGATCGTTTACCCAACTTTGACCTTATAAACAAAGATTCCTGAGTAAAAGAATTTATTTAATTCCCATGAATCCCTAGAGCCTAAATCCCGCTCAAATATATATATATATATATATAGGGGAGCGATCAAATGCAAACCACTCAATTTGTACAAACCGTGCAAACCGCATTCAACCAATCATAATTTTTCATTTTGTTCATTTTTTTGTAATTATGAGAGGTTG